CACAGCAGCAGGAGTATTCGTTGGGACTAGAAAAGTACAAATTTTTCTACCGCTTGGCGCCGGGACTGCTTGAGACAACGTTCTGATCGTCTTGCCGGTGTTTCCGTACTCACTCTCCTGTTCCAGGCGCTACTGCAGGATAGGGACAGCTGTGTCAAGGCCTTAGTCAAGGCCGAGGAAAAAGCAAACGGTATTTGAAACCTCACGTGTTGCGCACCGCAAACGTTGCTTCACGTGTATTGGGGATGCATTTTGCTTGCCTTCGACGGAGACATGCACCTCTAGCGTATCAGAGACCGTTTTTTTGTCGCTGCTACTGCTGTGTCCGAGTTGGAGACTTGGCGTTTCGTTCTCCTCTCTGACAAGCAACCGCTGCTGCAACTCGTGTGGCAAACATCAATCTTCTCGCACCGCACGTCATGCGGTTGCTCCACGCGAACTGCTCTCGCTGATTCTTCTTGCGTATGTGATAATTTTCGCGCCATCCCAGATGATCTAACTAAGGGGCTACGAGAGGATACCTCGTCGGCCACCCTCGAGCACCGCCACCAGCTGATGAACACGGAGGCGACCGTGGACAACAACTTTGAGCTATTCGAGGCGCAGCGAGTGGAGGAGATTAAGGTAAAAAAAAATATTGGCGCACCTGACAGAATATGTTGGATGTCATTGAGGCAACTTTGTGCGTGGCTCCCAATCACGTGGTCGTGCACACCACAAGGGTACCAGTTTCATACCGGCCTCATTGAGTAACTGGCAAGGGTACACCACTACGTCGTTTCCGTTGATTGGAAAAAACGAGTAGCCCTTCCCGCCGAATGACTTGCAAATGTACCAGGATATTTTGGAGGAGTTTCTTCGATGCGAGCTCTACTACCACTGTCGGGCGCTGGAGGTGTTGGGACCGGCATTGATGCACATCGGTGGGGTAGACCCCGAATCGGCAAGGGAGGTGCGTGTAGTTTGTTTAGGCACCCAGCGTTCGTCGGGGTTGCTTCTTGTACCGGCTTTTCCCTCTTGCATGCTGAAGAGAGACGGTGCGTCCCTGTGTATATCTTCCACAATCAGTCCTGTTACCCGTCTATCCCCTACACGGAGGCACACAGGCTCACCCACTTGGTACACACTGCACTCTCCTTGTCGGGGCCCCCTCATGAGGAGGATTCTCTCCTCGCAGTTTGTTCCACTGTCCTTTCCAACTACAACTACTAGTACGCAAGAAGGGCGATTTGTATCTGTCCTTTTGGACACCGTTACTCTAGCACACCAAAAACCTTCCGCCTTCAGGACATACTCGAGTTTTTTTTTTGTGTTCATCGAACTACAGTAGGTCTTGTCGTGGGGAATGAGGCCAGTCCTAACTATTTGGGTGTTCTGGTCTTGTAGTGGCACGTTGGAGTGGCACGTTGGAGGCACGCTCGAGAGAGTGCACGGACATGCTTGTCATTGTCACCTGCTGCACCTGAACTGCCATTGCACTAGAGTCTCACAACCTGTTTCAGTCTTTGTTATGTCGCACGCATGAGGAGTACACACGACCGCTTGGCCCCCGTGGTGATATCCGGAGAAGGTTATGCAGAAAAATTCCTGGTGACTTGTTCTTCACCGCGGTTGAATGAACAGAGCCATCGGGCAACTGGAACTGATTCTTATCCACACAAGGAAGTCGGGCCCGCGCTTAGGCCACACTGTTACAGACAACCTGTTCTTGCACGTACCTTGCGTGGTTCTCTGAATGCCCCCTTTGCAGAATATGCGCGAGGATATCGAAGGCATGAACAAGCAGCTTCGCTACACGTGACCCGGGTGGAGGCGAAGCACGGAAAATGTACTCCGAAACCTCACCCAAGCTATGGTGGCAATATTTTCCGTACACCCGTATCGGTTCTGTATCAGACATTTGCGTTCTACTTCACACGTTCTCTGCCATACTTTTCCATGATGCTCGTAGTAAAAATGTCACTAATCATTCACCAAGCGAAGGCCGGCGCATGCAACTGCTTGGCAAATTTCGTAGCGCATGTGCTGTCGTTCGCAAAACGGTCGCCGTCAGGCCTCTCGAGCACGTTAGGGCCGTTTTGTCGCGTTCCCCCCAATTTGTCACTGTTTCCATAGTGGGGAACTTGGCGAAGCTACCTTCCGTGTCCAGTACGTTGTTTTGGAAGTGTTTTGTCAATGTTCAGTACCACTGCTCAAGTGTGGCGTATGCCCTATCTTCTGTGTTATGTAGCGCATGTGGAGGGAAGAATTGCTGTATGTGGTTTTCTCGACGTTCGGTGACCGACCTTAGTCTCTGTGAAACCGTCGGATTATCTGACTGTCTCTAGGTGTCCTTGTCATCCCCTGGATGCTACGGACTTGCTGCCTGGACTTCGATCGTCTACTTGGTGTACGCGTCTGCTTGTATTGTTTATAACTGGCAGTAGATTGGCATACAGCGGGATGTGTCGGGCGTTCGCACATGAAAGTCTGCACGCGAACCGCGAACCAAAACCTGGAGACTGTGGTCGGTGCCTCAGGCGAACAAATCCTGCACTGGACGAGTGTAGCAAGCCTGAGAACGTGACCGAAGTAGGCCACTTCGACATAACTTTACGCAGCTTCACCGTCTATCTGCGGTCAGTCTGTTGCTGTGTTCTTCAAACGTACAGTAGTCCGGGCGGACGCCTTACCGTGTTCCCTGGGACCGTGGTGTGATTCCGGGCCACGATCACACCTGAAGCCTGGGCTTGAAGTGCAACACTTAACCTGCGCGCCTGTTCCATTGAGAAGAATTGTCGGGTCTTGGGCAGAGGTTGGACATTTCCTGCTGTCTTGACCGAATCGTCTTCGCCCCTCGAGCGCACTGGTCCCGGGCTCCAGGAATGTCGAGACAAAATATGAGAGGCTGCTGTAGCACCTTTCACGCTGTAGACATTGATTCTGAACAAATACGATCACCACATCCATCGTTTCTACAATGTATCCTCTTTCAGCCGCAATAGCCAATAATGCCAGATTTGAACTGAATCGACTCACGACAGCGTAGGTTCCTGCACAGTCGGTTCCATGTCGTTGTCCCAAGCCTTGGACGCTCAGCCTTGCCATGTCATGACTCCAGATACCTTAATCTTGTACAACCATCTCGAGCCTGTAGCCTTTGCTCCTGGTGGAAGACTCCGAAGTGGAACTACGTACGTCAGCCACATCATGATCTTTTAGGCCATTCATTTCCTTGTCCATAGCTGCTTTCCATTGATCGGCACCCACAGCCCTCTTGACTTCTTGATAGGTACTGGTATTTAGTCGATATTGGTATATGTAGAAGCGGGCGGACGAACTAGTTCTCCTGACAATGGCATCTTGATTCTCATGTCTTGGTCGACAAAATTACCCGGTTATGCCTAAAACACAATCAATCGCCTCAGCTCCGCTAGCTGTCGGTTGTTCATGGCCCTTTGATAATTTGTCGTCTTGTTGCCGCCGCTTCGAATAGTCATGCGAGTGGTATTTTCTTCTCTTCCTCGTTTCCTTCTCCTTCTTCTTCTTCTTCTTAGTTTGCGAAGTAGTAGCTTTCATGTGCCCCGGTTTCCGGATGTGACAACATGTTGTCAGGAAACCGATAATAATCCGTCTCGCCTCTGATAGTCGCGAAATTCCTCAAAAGTCGGTATGACCGGCGGCATGGCCGCGTCCATTTTGCTCAATGAACGTGACGTTCCTGCTGGAAATATTCGCTCTGGTACGTGGATTATCCGAAAAGCATTACTGTCGGGGTTGCACCCAACCCGTATCTCTGGCCAAGCTCGATTCGTAAGCTCCGATTTACGTCGTATTATGTTTGGACGTGCGCAAAGGCCGGTTATCCGATCACCTGTAGACGTTGCAGTGACGCTTGCTTTCCAAACATACATCCGGAAGTATGGCGTTTCGTTGTCCAGGTGTACGTGCGGTAGACGATTCGCGATGTACACAGCCGTGCAGTATATTAGGTCTCCCCATATAACTTTATCAAGACGAAGGATGAAGCGATCGACACGCATACTATGCGATCTAGATAAACGTGATCCGGAGCGGATTTCGGCTGGAGAGACTGTATGATCTGACTCCGGAGGGGAGTACACTGCCGACTACAAGACATGTACTACAGGAAATACTGCAAAACAACGGGCATTGTATGCATACAAGAATTTATGGCGCCGGCAACTCCGTAGCAGAACGGAATCAATGAACGTGCAGGAAGAACACTGACGAACATCGTTGTTGTTGTTGTTGTTGTCTTCACATTAAACTCGTGTCAGTTGCTTATCCCAAAATCTCGCAAAGACTCGGTCCGTGGTCACAAAAATCGTGAGGAGGTAAACGGATTGTGGAAAACTGGAGTACCTGAGTTTTTTTTTCTTTTTTTCTTTTTTTTTCTTAATATGACACTACGAATCCATCTCTATCATAGAAAAGAGTCTGAGACAGATTAGCAATGAATTCATAGCGTCAGAAAGTACCTGTATGTCTACGATTTCCCAGTTTTTCGGCGATGCACGATAAATACCTGACTGAGCGTCACTTATCACGCCGCGCGCAGACAAAAATACGTATCATGTGATGACAGAAATCATACAGCGCAACTATACATCACTACACAAAACACGCAGATCGGACCAAAGACTATGACTATAAATAACCTGGTTATAGTTTATAGTCATATATTTGTTATTCATAGTCATGTAGTCTTTGGATCGGACATCGGGTTCCGTGTACGACACAAGATAACACACCCCCTCGACCAGCACCGAAAACGGTGGCGTTGAAGCCGTCTTGTCGAGAGCTTTCCGAAAACGTATCGTTTCGTTTAGTCGTCCTCTTTGTCGTGGCGTAATCGAGCTTTGAAAATCAGTCCGGGGTGTATTATCTTGTGTCGAATACACGGTGCACGTAGTAAGCAAAACTGCTAGGGACGGCGATACCAGACGCTGTTGTTGTACACATAGATGCTACTGTACGAATATGATGAGTGTCGCACACCCCTTAGCGCCCACTTGTCACTATATATCTATCGGCTGGTATTTACACTCCTCTGCTGGTACACAGCAGCGTCGTCACGTGCTGTAGTCGTTACGGTGTTCGAGCGTTCGAACTCCACTGGTTCAACTCTGGGCCGTTACAAAATAAGCCCCGTGAAATGGAAGGGGGGGGGGGTTAGCACAACGCGGACCCCCCAGATTGGGGCCCGCGGGGACACAGGACAGCCGGAGGAGCACAGGAGGACAGACGGGAGACAGACAGACACACCCGCACAGATTTGACTCCCTTGGTGCCGCCCCTCCAGCCTTTGGGATTCGCGCCGTGAACAACCGGCCAAGTCTTGAAGTATTTTGCTACCGAGAAGTTGGCGAAGCCTTTGCGGCGGCAATAACCATGTCATCAGGCGAATCGTCCAAGGAATCGTCTTCCCCTCGTCGTTTTGAGCTTGTCAACTCGGACTCGGAGGGAGATGGCGCGAGCTCGTCGGAAGATGAGCCCCTCTTCAAGTTCCCGGATCGCGGTGGTGAGCAGCTGCAGAGCGTGGGATAGGCTCTGAGGCTGTTGTTGTTGTTTTCCATTTCCAAACGCCGGTTGCTGGTCGCGATGCTTACACGGATTTGAAAAATCTGGGCGGAGAGGGAGTCTGGCACACAACGGTCGGCCATCACCTCGGACTCGCTCTAATCTGGCCGCCGCTTTGAACAGAGGGTTGAGCTATACTAGTAGTAGCTCTCCCAGCTGCAGAAGGGCCAACCCAAGCCCACTATTTCGAGCTGTCTCCTTGCTTGTTGGCGTCCAAGAAGCCCGGTTATTCTGCAAGACCTCGGAAGACACCATTTCTCACCGCATTCATCTAAGTACTACATGATGTGGTGGGTTGATGCTTCGATGGCCCCTGCTGAACCTCTGCTGAGCTGCGCTGTCGCCTGTCGTAAATGTATCAGGTTCAAATACGTAGTCTACCGATGAGGTTGCCTCTTGAGCTGTTCCAGGTTCGCTCGTTCCACCACTGACCCATTTCAACATAGATCACTGGGTCAATCGCAACCTCCAACAGCAGCACTCCTTTTCTCGTCTGCACTTTCCAGAGGGAGCGGCGAGACTCGTCTGCATGCACCGACAGCAATGTTTGATCACGTGATTTCTTGAGAGCGCATGCTCTTGCCTCTGCTTGGCGTATCAGGTTCAAAATTTCAGTTAACGGGGATTCGTAATGGCATGAGAAAAATCTCCCCACTCGCTCATGAGCAAGACTTTTTTGTAATTGTTGGAGTCGTGGATGCTGTTGTGTTGTCGTTTGTCATGCGGAAATCATGAGGTAAACTAAATACGTTTTACCTGTCGCAAACTCCGCGCTTACAAGAGCCGGGCTTGGCTGTTATCATCCCTGCCGTCTATGGATTTCTCATGTACATGCGCATGCGGCACAACTCTTAGACCCGAACAAACCTAGCGAACCTGAACTCCCGTCTGCGTTGCCGCTGTTGCTGTTCGCACCCCCAACTGCTGTCACGCGCAGCGTTCAAGCGCAAGGTCGAGAAATCGGATTCCGACGACGATTCGGACGACTCCTCGGAGGACGGAAAGAAGAAGAAGGAAGGCGGAGGGAGCGACAATTCGGAAAGCGAGGACGATGAGGAGTTTTTTTCCTCGCTACGGCAAAAAAGGTGGGACTGCTATATGAATGTGTTGTTCTACACCTCCCCCCCCCCCCCTGGTGGGCATTATTTCGGAGACAGCTTTGCGCCCGCCGGAAGGACACGGCTTGCGCTTCAATGTCTGACATCTCCGTCTTGAGTGCAAGTCCCCACCGGCAAGTGTCCCCTGCACACGCCACACACCGCTACACATACTTGTCCGGCCGAGTACATGTGCGGCGTTACGACGGCATATATTTTCTATATCTCATTTGGGACCCGATATCTCATTTGGCACCGCGTGTTTGCTCGATTCTTAGACATCCCCCTGGGTAATTTGACGCTCTCCCACCACCACCACCAACACCACGCTGCGTCTACCAAAAGCAGAGCTGGCGGGGCGGGAGCGGGGGCGGGGGCGGGGGCGGCGGCACCCGCCAGAAACGCCGGGGGGCGAAAACAGGCGATCGACCTGCTGTCAGATTCGGACGACGAGTTCGGCGCCCCTCCCAGGCCGGCCCCGAAACGGCGCAAGAAGGCGCCCACCGCGGAGGAGCTCGATGCGCAGGTGCGGGCGAAGGTAGACGCTCTCCTGGAGAGCAGCGACGGAGGTGGCTGCAGCTCTTCGCGGGCTGCCACCAGTAAGGAAGACCAGGCGTACGCCAGGCGAGTGGTTGTGTGAAGCAATCGGTGTGTTTTTATTTGCCAAGGAGGGGGGGTACCCATGTGCCGTAGTCGTTGGGCCGTTGACCTCGCATCCTGGGACGGAGCGATACGCCGCCGGGTTTTCGCCGGCCCAGGCCAGCTTCAAAAGGACGAGCTGGTCACCATCCTTGCGTTTGCTGTGCCAAACCAGAATACCACTAAACATCCCGGCTAGCCAAACCTTAACCTTTCACATTCGGTAGGCACGACTATACCTAATACCCGGGGGGGGGTACTCTCATGTTTTGCTGCCTTAGCGGTTAGACCATTGACCACGCGTCCTCAAGAGGTCGGAGCATT